GAAAGAGGTAAAACTCAGAATTTTTAGTTCAGTGAACCTCAGCAGCTGTTGCATTTGTGTGGAGTTCAGAGACCACCTTGACAGTGCAGAGGTTCTGCTGCCTACTGAGTGACAGATTTCATCACCTTAAGGGCTTTTTTGATTCCAACTTGCAGAGTAGAGACAACCCCCCCCATGCCAGTTGCGAAGTGAGTTCCTACTCATGCAATATTTCATGTTAAAGATTACACAAGTTTAATTTGCTGTTAACACATATTACCGCTTATTGCAAAAGTAGTTGGCTTTGGTGATCGTTTCTGAAACTCTACTTCCACTACTCCAGAAGCTGTAACAGACACTTGGTTTTTATGCTGATCCTCTGCTGGCAGCCATGCAGAGATTCAGTTTGAACACTAAGTGATCACAAAGGGGAAAGCTAGACAGGGAAAAACCTGCAGCAGAAGGGGACTCAACTTCACAAATGACTTGAAATGGGTATACAGTCCCATGGTGGCTGGAAACTTAAGGCATCAAGATTCTGAAACAGCTGTGTTACCAGCCAAATGGGCTGAATGCTTGCAGGCCACTGAGGGGAAAAATAAGCCGGTTACAATTTTCTCTAGCAAGGCTTCCGTATGAACATGCTGTTCATGAGGATAGCTGTAAGGGCTTGCAATTGTCATGTATCGTACCACAGAACCTCCTACCCACTCTCACAAGCAGAAAGTACAAAATAAATTGCTTTTGATAAGCAGTCTGAATGTAACAGGACTGTAAAATGGAGCAAAGGGGGGGAAGCTGGTTAGTAAACAGAAACATCTGCAATGATGATCACTCATCTTACTGATTCAAGGGAGATAAAGTCACCTGTACTTAAACACGACTGTGTAGCAGTGGAATCCTTACTACTCTTTAGCTGTATGTTTCCCTCACTAAACCTCCTAGAAGACTCAAGTCTTCTATTTGTAGCTCCTTAATCAAGTGAAGCGAGTTCAGTTTTAAAACAATTACTGGCATATACTGTAAGGAAGCCTGTGAAGTCAAAGGAATCGACAACAGTCAAACAAGAAACCTCCCTCTCACTGGCATGTAAACAGAAAAGCACCACCCCCCAAGGTAAGGCTGTGTGTTTCACAGAGTCTCACTCCCTTTACATTTTTCAATAATACAAAGTCCATCTTCAAATAAAATTATACATTTTTCCACACTTGCACTATACTAGAATTATGTTTATTCTGAATATGGAAATCAGAGGCAGTCTGCCTGTCCTGCAAGCATAAGAATTTAACATTAAATTTAAAAAAAAAAAAAAAAATTAACAGGCACAGTAAGATTTTAATCTTTGAAAATAAAGTTGTTGCTGGGGGTATAGCCTAAGCAGCAAAACAAATGTCACTTTTTGAGACCCCAGTCCACTTTAGTTTCTTATTCAGGGGAAAACACGAAGCCTCTGAATCTGATCTTTGTGGTGGAAAGCCAAGCATCCATCTATCCCCAGCACTAGTGGATCAAGTTATTCTAGAATGTAGGTGGTTAAAGGTTTCTGTGTCTGCTGCCGGCAATAAGCTCCAAGGAGTCCAGGCACTGTGGTGTAAAGCACTATAGTGGGAAGAGCACAGCCAGGCATGGCTTGAGTAAGAGCAGTTTTCCCCAGGCTTCATCCTTCCCTCACTTCCAGCTTCCAGTGGGATCCATATGCTAATCTCCGACCTAACTATTTGTAGCGATTTTGACCATTTCTCTAACAGCTTATGAGCCTTTAAGGCATCACCAGTCTTCCTCACACACACTTAGGACTTAAAGACATGGACAGCCCTTATCACATACTGCCTGCATATGGGACATTCGCTCATCCGCTTCCCACACTTGGTGCAAGTGACCATGTGGCCACATTCCAGCAGGACACAGTCAATGGGTGCGTCCATGCAGATTTTGCAGAGGTTGTCCTCCACGCCAGGGAGCCCAGCACCACCTGAGTAAACAAGAGACCACAGTTGGCATGAGACAAAAGTATGTTGGTTTTGTGCAATCTGTGAGTTGGCTTTATCAAAGGGCTTCCTTTTGCACACTGAAGGTCTGGGGAGAAAAAAAAAAAAGTTCCCCTTTGCATCTACACTGATGTGGATAGATCTGCTCCACCAACTGGCAAGGAGCAGAAGGTTTTAGCTTTTACACAGTAATTTCTGTGTGATGAAAGCAAACATCACCGAGATTCTTAGCAATGAGGTGAAAGAAGCAACATTACTTTCCCAAGTAACAAGTGATAGGACGAGAAGAAACAGCCTCAAGTTGCACCAGGGGAGGTTTAGATTGGACATTAGGACAAATTTCTTCAGGGAAAGGGTTGTCAAGCACTGGAACAGGCTGCCCAGGGAAGTGGTTGAGTCCCCATCCCTGGAGGTATTTAGAAGACATGTAGATGTGGCAGCTAGGGATATGGTTTAGTGGTGGACTTGGCAGTGTTAGGTTTATGGTTGGACTTGATGATCTTAAGGGTCTTTTCCAACCTAAATGATTCTATGATTAAGAATATCACTTACCAGTTTGATCATCAGTGTCAGAAACTGCAACATAAGAAGAGAAAGTTACTTGGTGAGAGTAAGAGAAGCTGGGAAAAAAAATTTACTCAAGTGGTATTATTAAGCAGGAGATGAAAGCCTTGGAAGGGAAATTACCAAACCAAAACTGCTTTTTGCTGACCTCCACGCAGAGGTTCAAGCTGAATCTCTGATCAGGATAGGTTGTTCAACTGGCAAGAAGCCTTCTCTTTTACTGAGCTTGCACAGTAGCTAAAGTTTCACAAAGATAAGCAACTAAAGTCATGTCTCAATTTTTAAGACAGCCTTGGAATTTATACAGTGTTTGGCTTCCTAGAACTATGCTTGCAGTAGCCCCTTGTGCCAGTTTTTTTGGTGTTACACAATCTCACCAATATTGTCGAGCACAGCTGGCACATGCATGCAGTGATTAAGAGAAAAGGATAAATTCTGTCAAAAGCACAAGATACAGTGAAAGAAGAATATAAAACCAAAGCGGTTGTCTTAAATCTTTTATCTTTCATAGAGAATGAAGCTT